TTCAGGGTTCAGGGTTTAGTGTGTACTTTATTCTTCTCCGTTTTCGTTGCTAGGACTACTGGAATTCTTTTGTTTAAGGAGAAGCTTGCATAGGAAAGCAGTAGTATCAGCCTCCGCAGCATGGAATTGCAAGCCACGCAATCCCTTAGCCCTAAACCCGAAGCCCATGGCCTCCCAGACAAGCCCTACAATTCTCCCCTGGAAAAAATCTTTAGACCGCACAGCTTGAACCCAGCCCTCTGAAGTCTCCAAGCCCCAAAACTCCAAACCCTTAACCCTTAACCATGTTTCGTCTTAAGGCTATGTGCTCTTCACCCGCACCTTGCGCCTCGCTCAACGCTTCGGTGGCAACACGGACCCCTTTGGGTCAGAAATTGCCCACTTTTTGGTTGACGGGAGATACCCTGAAAGACTTGAAGTCGCATTACTTGATTCGAAATCCTCTCGGGGCCTAGACGGTGCAGGAATTGCGTGGGTTCTTTCACATGCCTATGTGCGGCTATCCGGTGTAAGGTGCAATATTTCAAGTCTTTGAGCCTTAAACCCGAAATAGTAGTTCCCATTCTATTTTCCAATATCCCAATATGTCCCCAATATAAACCCTATGTATCCCTGAAGGAGGGCTCACAGGTTCCTGACTCCATGTTACACGGGTCTTGGGTTTAGGGTTGTGGGGTTTAGGGTTTAGGATTTAGGGTGTAAGGGTGTAGGGTTTAGGGTTACGTCTTTTCGAGGTCTGCTGTGCGCATGTGGTATGCAGAGGGGCCCACCCCAGGAAAGCCGTGTTAAGGGGGTCAGGGTGTTAGGGCAGGCTAGCCAAATGAAAGATCAGACCTCTAGGAGGAGTTTCGGGCCTAGGGTTTAGTGTAGATCTTCCTGAAGGGTTCCCAGACATCACCCAACCGTGGTATTGGGTACTGTAGTGGGGCTTTCATTTTCTACATTGTCCCAGGTCGCAGGGGTGTGGTGTTGTTGGCTTACCTACTCCAAACCCCAAACCCCAAAACCTAAACCCCCGCACACCAAAAAAAGTGTAGGATTTAGGGTTTAGGTTTCAACCGTAAAGCCTAATCGCTGGCTTCGCTCAGGAGTCCCAGGGTTCTGACAGCTATCATCCACGTGATAACCCCAGTTATCCCCCTTATTGACCTACATACTAAGTCCCCCTGACCCTCCAAGTAGTGCCTCTTCGTGCTGAATTTGGAGCTCGAAGTTTGTTCATTCAAGCTATAGTCTGAACTCCTTCAAGGCGGTTACATAGGGGATTTACAGGGGAGCATTACAGGGGTAATTAATGGGGCTACTAGGAGTTAGACTGTGTTAGCCGGCAACCATAAGGCGTTATATAGTAGCAATTCTGCACGGCACCTGTGTTAAAGGGTGTAGGGCTTGGGGCTAAGGACCTTGTGCCGTGGGAATTATGAGGCTGCATGCAGTGTATTAGGGGTCATGCAGGAATATTGCTGTCAACCCAAAACGCTAAGCTCAAGTGAACCAGATTTTTCGGGGTCTAGGGTTTAGTGTTTGGGAAACTCAACGTCAAACCCCTAGATCCCTAAACCCTAAACGCCTAGAGCTTAAAATCCAAACCCTAAACCCTAAAACTCTAAACCCCAAACCCCTGAACAGGACTTCGTGAACGAGAACATCAATGGGGCAACCCAGACATGGCGTAGCCAGTTCGGGCTGTCGTCTGCCCGAGGTGAAAGTGGCACGGGCTTCGAGTCCATGAAGAGGTCAGGGTCCAAGATTCAAGGGTTTAGGATTTTGTGTTTAGGGTTTAGGGTTTAGGGTTAAGACCCTAAACCCCAAACACTGAACCCTTTAAGGGTTACCGTATAAGGCCATCTCAATGAATATTACGTAGGGTTTCAAGCCGAGTTACAGATAAGTATAACCCGCTCCCCGCATTCCCTACTGAGCACCTGGGAGAAAACCCTAAGCTTTCAGCCCTAAAGCCTCAACCCTAGACCCGGAACCCTACACCCTAAACCCTCAATCCTAAACTCTCAACCCTAAGCCAACTGAACCCTGAACCCTTAACCACCTAAGACTTGAAAACGCCTTTCTGTTGCACTTGGGTGGAAGGCATGAAGCCCCTATCTAGACCCTATGTACAAAATAGTAGCTTCCATTTTCTTTTCCATTATCCCTATATAACCCCGTTATATTATATAGTAATTTCCACTGTCTTTCCCTCAAACCTTAAACCCTAAACCAAAACCCCCTAAACTCCAAACCCTAACTCCTAAACCTAAATCCCTAAATCTCCAAACCCTAAACTCTAAATCCCTTAACCCTAAACCCTAATCCCTAAACTGCAAATCCCTAATCCCTAAACCCTAGCCCCTAAACCCCTAAGCCCTGAATCCTAATCCCTAAATCCCTAAACCTAAATCCCTAAATCCCTAAATCCCTAAACCCCTAAACCCTAAGCCTTAAATCCCTGATCCCTAAACCCTAAAACCCTAATCCCTAAACCCTAAATCCCTAATCCCTAAACCCTAAATCCCTAATCCCTAAACCCTAAATCCCTTAAGCCTAAACCCCTAAACCCCGAACCCTAATCCCTAAATCCCTAAACCCTTAACCCTAAATCCCTAAACCCCTAAGCCACAAATCCCAAAACCCCGAAACCCTAAGCCCTCAATCCCTAAATCCCTAAATCCCTAAACCTCTAAATCCCTAATCCCTCAATCCCTAAATCCCTAAATCCCTGAATCCCTAAACCCCTAAATCACAAATCTGCTTCCATAGAACTCCGCAGGTCGGCTCTCCTGGAGGGGAACCAAAGCCAGACGAAGGCTGCCAAGGCCAGCTTTGGTGGGGATTGGGTTTAGGGGGTTTAGGGTCTAAGGGCTTAGGGTTTAAGGGTTTAAGGGGTTTAGGGGGTTTAGGGCTTGGGGTTTACGTAGGGGTTTAGGGTTTACTGTAGGGGTTTAGGTTTAGGGTTTTTGAGGGATGACATGCCATCTACTTACGAAGAGATCTGTCCTACCTAAACCAGCAAATCTTGCACCCTTGCAAATGCATCTTGTTGATCTTTTGTGGGAACAAGTAGTTCTACTTAACAATGGCGCCCCTTCAAATGATGTGTAAGGTGCCGTGATGCATGGGGTTCTGCACTTCGGCTGGTCAAGATTCAAGATATGCTCTTGCAATTAAATCAACGCGAAGCAGGGGATACTGCTGCATTGATCTTCTAGCAGCCCGAAATCCCTTGTTCGTGCGTCTCTTGCATCAACGAGGCTCTGCAAGCATCGCTAATGGCCATGCGCCGCATTCAACCAGCCTTAAGGGTAGCATTCGACGGAACTGCGCTTTTTTCTGCCCCATAGATATAGTCCCCCTTAAATAGATAGAATATGGGGCATAGGGGGATCTTATTAGAATATACCCGAAGCCACATTCTATCTGCTTAAGGGGGACTATAAGCTAGATTGACCTTACAGTATCAATGCATCGGAACTGACGACCATGAAAAACAAATGAATCCTGGTAGTCTTCGCATATTTTCATTGTCCAAAAAAGGAAGCAACAAGGCCTAAACCCTAAAACCCCTAAAACCCAAGCCCGAAACCCTACACCCCCCAAGCCCTAAACCCTAAACCCTAAACCTTAAATCCTAAATCTGAAACCCCTAAACCCCTAAACCCTACACCCTAAATCCTAAACCCCTCACCCCAAAACCGCAAACAAGCCATGCACAGGCAGATTCCGACACTCTATTCTGGCAGGATGAAGAGGACGGTTTAGGGTTCACTTAGAGGTGCTGAAGGGACGGTTTAGGGTTTTCTGGGTTTAGGGTTTAGGGTTGAGGGTTTAGGGTTTAGGGATTAGGGTTTAGGGTTTTCTGGGTTTAGGGTTTTCTGGGTTTAGGGTTTAGGGTTGAAAGAGTGGGGGAGTGTAGAAGCCAACAGGAATTGCTCAGTGCTTTGGGTTGAGGATCTAGGGACTGGGGACAAAAAGGAATGCAGGGACTAAAGCAGCGGTCATGATTGTGGCCTTTTGGGGGTCCGGTGAATATTCCTGGCAGCATGTGAAGGCCACCTCATAGGGGTCATTAGAGGGATACACTGCCCCGAAGCACCGGTAGGTTTACTGGGCTGCTTAATTTGAATTGCTATATTGGGGAAACCGTATTATTTTACGATCTATATGCATTATGGTAGCTTAGTTTAAATTCCCTAAACCCTAAACCCTAAACCCAGTTTAGGGCCTACCTTCATCCTCTAATTAATACAGCCGCCCCAAGACATGACCCTGGGAGCTTACTCCGTTGAAGCCCCCAAGCCGTTTGGGGTTTAGGCTTTACGCTTTAGGGTTTAGGGCTCAAGGTTTAGGGTTCAAGGTTTAGGGTTCAAGGTTTAGGGGGTTTTGGTTTAGGGTTTAAGGTTTCAGGGTTTAGGGTCTAAGGTTTAGGGTGTAGGGAACATTCGAAGTGCTAAGCTTACTTTTCCCTCTTTCCTAAGACCCGCATCCTCCAAACCGGCAAAGATCCCTAATCCGTATGCCTTTTGTCCCGTTTGTTCCTTACATGCCAAACGTAATTGGTGATGTGTGAGTTTCTCAAAATGGGGGGCCCCCAGAAGGTTTCTAGGGGTCTCTATGAGCTAATGGACACATGTTAGGCTTACCAGGGGACCATTAAGGGTGAACACAGGGGGTCGTGTAGCCGACGTCCATGAATCATATGGGAAAGATTGACGTTTCTCTTTCCCTGAGAGCTACAGAGGGATTATGGGGTTTGATGAGACGACATATTCCTCGACCCTCAACCTGAAGCCCTTACACCCTTGACCCAAAATCCCAAACCGCCTAAACCCTAAGCCCTCTTAACCCTAAACCCTTAACCCTAAACCGCCTTAACCCCAAACCCCCTAAACCCTAAACCCCCCCAGACCCCTAAACCCCCCCAGGCCCCTAAACCCTTAAACCCTATACCGCCTACGACCTACCGAGGACATGTATCTCGCTTCGGTTGACTACGGCGAGACTTGGCTATCTGATACGTGCGCGATTTGGGGTTTACGTAGGGGTTAGGATTTATGGTTTGGGGTTTAGGGTTTAGGGTTTAGGGTTTAGGGTCTAGTGGGCTCTGTAGGCACAGGTTGGGATGCACAGATGTAGGAAAGTAGGCCTACATCGAAACAAATTAGTCATGAGGTTCATGCAGAGATGGCAAACAGAAAAAAGCAAATAAGTAAATAAATACATGCATACCTAGAGCAACCCTAAACCCTTAACCCCAAACCCTAAGCCGCTCCCTATACTCGACGAGCTCAACCCTAAACCCTATATGCCTCTAGGGTTTGCGGTTCAAGCTTTTGGGGGTAGGATGTTGGGCTTAGGGTTTAGGGTTTAAGGCCTAATGTCCCGGATGGTCTGATTTACGGATGCAGAGGTTGTCACCTCGCGCCTGGAGAAGCAATAATCCAACTCCTTAGCGGGGGGCGGAGGGCTCGGAAATTACTGGACGGCAAACATGAAAGTTCAACCCAATCAGTAAGTTTGTTTTTCCAAATATGGGTACCCTAGGTATCCGCCTAGGGACCTCCAAGACAAAGGGATCATGAGGGAGGATTATGGGGATTAGGGATTGTGTAGAGATCATCTTGAGATATGAAATGCCCAGAAAAAGCCATACCTACCATCTTTCAAAATGCTCCAAAAAAGGCAAAAGCTTGCATGGCAGCCATCCCTGGATTGCTCCTGCGAAGCCCTACATCGCTGTGGGGCTGGGGAGCTTGCAGACCCTAACCCTAACCCTAAACCCAAAACCCTGAACCCTAAACCCAAAACCCTGGACCCTAAACCCTGAACCCCGAACCCTTAACCCTAAACCCAATCACCAAACATAGGTTTAGGGTTTAGGGGCATGAGCGAAAATCAAGTCCTCGGGACTTTGTCTGTGAACACTAAGTTCCTGGCTAAAAGCCTCAAAGCCTTTAGGGTCTAGGGTTGATTCCTTCAGGGCTTAGGGTTTGGGCCTTGAGCCCTGACGAAACCAGCTGTGGTCTCTTATACTTACTGTTCTACACCTGTGTTGCGGAGTAATTATGCCAATTCCTATAACCTCCTACATAATCACAGGTCCTGTTCATGCTTCATTGCTTCCGTTTGATTCTCACTATGCTAGAGTTTCTTCATGTGGGTGCTTCCCAAGGTAGTCGCTACATAATCCCAAATACGGACCCGCAGACTTCCCGTACGGTCCCTACGTATCCTTTGGGACCCCCTTAAACCCTACACCCTAAACCATGATAATACCTAAACCTTGAATCCTATGCCACGCCCGAAGGAAGACATGGGTGTCAAAAAGACCGCTGAGTTCCGTGGGCCTTCCGCAGCGGAGCGGATCGCCCTGAGTGCTGTCAACCATTCCGCAGGAGCTTCCTGGGTTTGGGTGTATAGTCCCCCTTAAGTAGATAGAATGTGGCTTTGGGTATATTATAATAAGATCCCCATATACCCCATATTCTATCTACTTAAGGGGGACTATAGGATGAAAGGCTCTGACCTTCATTAGGGTTTCTGGTTTCTGGTTTGGGGATTAGGGATTAGCGTTTAGGGTTGAGGCTTCTGGGTTTAGGGGTTTAGGGTTTAGGGTTTAGGGTTTATGGCTTAGGGTTTAGGGCTCAGGGCTTGCGGGTTTTAGCGTTCAGGGTCTGCGGGTTTTAGCGTTCAAGGTTTAGCGTGGGGGGCGGAACAACCGGCCAAGGGTTCAGGGTTCAGGATTTATACATTCGCATTGGAGATCTCGCCATGGTGAAGTTTGAAATTCTGCGTTGGGAAGGGCTCTTTATGTTTCTGTGGTTTTGCCTCAAGCCAATCTCGCCCCAAATCCCAAACTGAAAGCTCAAACCCGAAACAGAGGTCTCAAATCCCACACCCAAGATGAAATACTGGGTTGCTTTCTTGAGTTTAATCAGTGATGTTTGTGCACTGACGCAACGGCAAGCATGCGACACCAGCATCTTGGCTCGCAGGCAGAGCATAGTGCAGCACAGCATTTGGATTTTTTTCATGCGCACATGTTACACGTCACGTTGCATTCTGTCCGCTTTGGTTGCACGGTTGCTTCTGCCTGTCCGTAGCCATGGATGCGACATCTTCGCCTACGAGGTGGGGTGTCTTTCTTTCCGCGGTTCCGCCACTGGACTCCGCTTGCAGGCTGACGAGCTCCGACCCTCCTTCTGCAGGCTGGGTCGGCTGCTCTCGCCTGCTCATTTCCTGTCTGCTTCCCGCACCCAGGTGCCGAAGTGGACGAGATTTTGACTCCCTCTCCTACCAGGCTGGGGGCTGTCTTAGTCTCTTTTGGGTCCGCCTGCTTGCCGTCCAGGTCTAGCTGGGTGCCGACCTTACTTTAGCTTCCGTCCTTGGTGCGCACTAGTGGTTGCCCACTCAGTCCGCCAGGTGGAAGTCTCGCCTCCGTCCGTCCCTCTACTTGAGGACACGGAGGACCGGCTGCACACTATGTCCGGTCTTGCTTGCAGTTTCTGATTGCATGGGAGCAGCCGCTTGTAGCTTCATGCCGGCAGCGCCTTTCAGCACTCAAGCTTTCAGCCTCAGCTTTTAGCAGACTTTGCAGCCATGTCCGGTGGTCAGTCTTCATTCCCGTCCGCACCGGGATCGCAGACTTCTTTTCCACCACCGTCCGGCACGGCCCGTACCAATCCAGCCCGTCCGGGACCTACGGCGGCTCAGGCCTTGCGTGCTTTGCTTGGCCACTCCGATGAGGCGATTACGCCAGCCCTGGCCACACTCCGTGCTTCCGAATTGGCCCGTATGAAGGATGTGGTGGGCAGCACGGTCTTCAGCCTCATCGTGAACACCACCCCGTCCGCGCCAGACGGCCCGGCTCCGTCCAATCGCGACCCGTGGGCAGACATCACGGATCCCGTCCGTGTGGAGCCTGCTCCATCCGATGTGCCAATGCAGGTGCAGACCAACCCGCCTGCCCAGCCCAATCCCGTCACGGATGCCCCGCTGCCGGCCAACGAGTACATGTGGCGTGATCCGATTCCGCCTCTGTCCCCAAGGCGTGCCAACCGTGGTCCGTGGACGTCTGACAAAGGCTGGCTGATTAATCCGGTGCTTCCGTCTGTACAGTGCACGATGATCCGTCCGGCTTGGTGGCCGTATGCTGACATTTTCTGTCTGAAGGCCTGTGAGATACCCAACTGGGTGCAGCTCCAGGAGCCGGCCGAACCCGTCGCGCACTTGCCGCTTCGGGGCTACTGTTCTCATACTTGCTCCGCCCGCGTCCGTTCAGCCACCTGCTACGGCCTTTGCCTCCGTCCGGTGATGGTGGGTGAGCGGGACGGCCACCAAGGGCACAAGTGCTTTGAGTGCCTTAAGGCGCACTGCGACTGACGGCTGTCCTTTCCCGTCCGCCTGTCTGCAGCCTAACTGACTAGCTTATCTCTATATGCCTTTTTCTGTCCGACAGGTGGGCTGGATTGGGCTCCCGTCTGCTAGGTAATCTGCATTCATAGTCTGGAGCAGGTACGCTAGCATGACACCAAACATTATAAAAGGCTACTACCATAGTGCCATACATTCACTTTTGCGTTCCTCCTCCGTCCGCCTTGCCCGGCCATAAGTGCTGGGTGGGCCGGCTCGAGCTTGGAGTCGAACTTGCAGTCCAAAAGAATTCTAACATGTTTCTTGTCATGTTATTTCCTTGCATGCTTGCCAGGACAGACCGCCTGCGCCTACTGGGCTTCGTCAGCGCTGGGCGTCCCTTGCTAAGCCGGTCCCAGTGACTGTTCTGCCCCTGCCTGTGTCAGGCCAAACTGTGGAGTCCGAGCCGGGCCGTGCCCCGCCTGTCCGTGCCCTGTCTTTTGCTGCCGCCTTGCCAGCTTCGAGCCCTCCGCTGGATGGCCGCATGCCGCCTCCGCGCCCTGCACCTGTGCCCGTTCACTGGCCTGCAAATCAGTCCCCTGTCTGGCACCTCCGCCGCCAGCTGTCACTTCTCGCTGGTCGGGGTTGGGTTATAATCCCTCTTATCGCCCCCCTAAGGCTTTTGTCTAGGCCCTTATACGCCCGTGCAACCTCCACGCAGCAAGCCTTACTCACCGCCTGCCTTGCCGGAGACGCCGCTTCCATTCCGCAGCCTTGCCAGCTGTCTCAGCCGCATCCTCGCAACTCACTCCTGCCCTGGTTCGACCACCCTTGCGTCTGCGCTCCCCTACCTTTCTGTCAGGGGGTGAGCTGCCATCTTCTGATGCCAGCATGTCTGACTTGGTTCATCGTGCCAAGAATGCACTGTCCGAAAATTGGCTTGCCGTCGTCCGTGCATTGGGTGATGCTTCCCTCCTGCACCAGGAGGCCAGGGCCACGTCCAGTCCACACATACACATGCAGCATCCCATGCTACGCTTTGCGCCCTCAACCGCAGAGGTATGTGTGTGATTGGCATTCCTGGGCAGCCTTTTGCCATGCACTGTCCGCCCCTCCGCATGACTGGCTGGCCACCCGTATGAGTAAGCAGGGCCTGGCCACTGGCCCACTTAGAGCCCTGGCCTGCATGGCCAGGACCGCTGGCCTGCCCGCCTTGCAGTCTCGTCTGCAGCTGTCCGTGGGGCTTTTGCTGTCGCCACCTCCCCGTCCGAGCGCCGGGAGAGCCTGCCTCTTCCTCTGTCCTTTGTTGTGTGGTTGGAACGCCAGGTGTTGGACTCTGCCACGCCTCCGTCCGAGGCGCTGTTCATTGGCTTTCTCCTCACTGCCGTCTGGGCGTCCCTCCGCTGGGGTGACATGCTGTGGGTGCCTCCGGACCGTCTGCAGCTCCAGCTGTCCCATGGTGCCATCCTGGGCACGGCCGTCCGCACTAAGACGACCAACCGCTCCATGCCATTTGGTTTCTTGATATTCGGACTGTCCGGCACACCGTCTGCCAATTGGGGAATCAAATTCCATAATCTCCTCCGTCAGGAGCCGGGACGCGTGATTGATTTCTTGCCTGCCCGCCTAGGGGGCTCCGACCTCCG